ACTAGCGATTTTCGCACTAGAAATCCTTAGAGAGCAGTACGCGGGAACTACGCAAAATTTAAAATGGGGGCTGAATTTAAAATCTTTGAGTTCTGTATGGACGGTGAACATGATCCCAAAATTTTAGCTTTCTAGTTTTTCTGGTTCTCAAGTTAGTGATTTTCCCGCCAAAACTTTGAGGCGCTCGTATGCGAGGCCTAGACGTGTTTGAGGATTGGTGCCACGGTCCTAGAGTGGCACTTGGCCGGGGGACCCACTCGCAAAATTTTGGTGCCGAACCTTACTTGGGTGCCGAGTTGAAATACCTGGACAGACAGATAGACAAACGCACACACACACACCGGGGTCGTCACAATGTGTGTTTTTTTCATATATGCAAAAACGCATAATGACCGCGCTCCATGCAAATGCAGGCAGGAACGCACCAGGTGAACCGGTGCGATCATGTGTTTTTGCACTATTTCGTAAGGTAGCTAGGTGGCAAGGAATAACAGTAGCTAGAATTTGTGACATACTAGCTCTTGGAGCTAAGGAAGTTAACTGTGCAACTACGTGGCGCGTCAGTTGTAGATTCAGTGACCCGAGAAATGGAAGGTTGCTGGTGCGTGAAGAAGACCCCACTAGAAGAGATGAATATGAAATCTTTTAGGCGCACACGAGTAAAGGGCACTTCCTCAAAATTACAGTCTTTTAGTTTTTTCTCATATCTGAGTCAGCAATTTTCCTGCCAAAATTTTCACTTGCCCGCACGTAAGTCCTGAGCGGTTCTAAGGAGCTGAATTTGAAGTCCTTTGGTCGTACATACGTATTGAACATCGCCGTAAGGTTTCAGCCTTCTAGCTTTTCTCGTTCCCGAGTTAGCAGTTTTCCAAAATTTTCACGTGTCCACACGCGGGTCCAGACGCACGAGAGAGCTGGCACCGCGGTCCTGCGGGTGGCATTTGGCCAGGGAAACAACTGGTAAAATTTGGCGCCGGAGGTTGTTTGTTTGCCGTTTTGAATTATCTAGGTAGACACACACACGCAAACAAACATACACACACGCAGACAGGGTCGTTGCAGTATGCGTTTTTACGCTTGCACATATGCAAAGACGCATAAAGACTGATAATCATGTACGCTGGAAGTTTGCGGCTCTATAAAGCAACACCTTCATCCTAGCCAATGCCTTTTCTCCTGGCACGTGGGAAAAAAGGTCAAAATATAGCCATAGTGAGTTTAAGTGTTAAACTACAGCGTAGGAATCATTTCGCTGTTAGTGTTAAAAAAATGCATGATCCTACTGGCTAGCTTGGTACTTTGTGGCCTGGATTTTCTTCGCTTAGTTCTTGAAAGGAGTTTATATCGCACGTGGAAAATGGCAATCAAATTCCAGATGCCTGGTTATTATAATTATTTTGGAAAAGGTACTATAGTGGAAAGTAGCACTGCACGGAGCAGTGGAAAGTAGCACTGTTTTCACAAACTAAGTTTAAAGGTTCGATTCCAAGGGCAGAAAAACCAATCACTCTGTTATTCGCTCATTCATTCCTATGGTGAACGAATATTGGCACATACCAGGGAGCGAAACCGGCACTTGCTTGCTTTCTACAATCTTGAAAGAAGGAGCCACTAGACAGCCTTGTCAGCGAGTGATTGCTTTTGGCATTTACTATCATTTGGGTTCATTCCGGACAGCCTTCATCTCTCACAGCGAATGCGGAGGGAAATGTGACTTTTAATGCATTTGTGTTAGATGGACTAATTGCATTGCAGAAATAGTGTCCATAAAAAATTGGTATCTTTTGCAGCGATTGAATTTTTGATAAATTTTAGGCATACATATTTTGATTCGCAAAAAAATATCATCCGATCGGATTATGGCTTTATGCCGGTGAAAAATGCAACAAAACGTGATCCTCGCATACACATTGCATATCTTACTACCAGTAGCGAAGGTATATAAGACAAGACTGAAATTTTTTTGTTTTTTTTCACAAACAAATTACTGCTGGCTTTGTATCAATAAGAAATGTTGAAGAATGGCTATCCGCAGAAGCACATCTCCAGAAACTTCGTTAGCATGCGGTACCGTCTGTCATGATTGGAGTTAGTGACTCTCGGGGGATTTTATCTCCAGAAAGTCTCTACATCGAATCGCTACAAAGGCGCCTAAGATTTATTTGCGAGGTGGTGCAGAGAAATTGCAGGACTGTGCTTTCATTGCGTTGAGGACTGCGCAATGCACGGTCTCAGTTGCAGACAAAATGCACCATTTCTCAGTGCACTGAATTACAGAGAATGTCAGCTCTCGTGTTTTTAAAATATCAACCAATGTGCCCAATATTAATTTACAGGATTTTCGATGATGGAGCAAGGAACGGTAGTCGGACGCAAAATTACTTTTCATCTGAAACAGTTTCTTCGACGCACGTTTTCTGTTGGAAGTGGTGGTGTAGATCTGGATATCCGAGAGGTTAGACGGCAACAAGCTCTTAGTCCTTATTTATTTTTTTTTCCGGTACTTAGACTATTTAGCCTTATGGCTTTTTAACAACTGCTCGAATATTTGTCTTACAATTTCTGGCAAAACAGCTTTTTTTTCGCCAGATGAAACCAATGCCAAGGTCTTTTGTAGGCCGACCCTACTCAAAGCAGCACTTTAAAAAGTGGAAAGGTTACCGTTTGAGCAGATAAAGAATATATTCATTTTGGTAATTCGAAGTACAGCTCTGCAGCTGTACTACTAGCAACTTTCAATTAACTTTGCTGAATACTGCGTTCCCTGATGATCAGCCTGCTTGCCGTGAACGAAGCTCCTTTTCGAAAACTGCTATGAGCAGAACGACTCCCCTTCACGTACGGCCGTGACGTGCTACCCAATACACCATCGGCTCTTGTGCTCTGATAGCATACCTACTGTGTATTTGCCTTACAAGTCAGAAAGCACTTTTCTCTTGGCTGTCCCATTGGGCAGTACACATTTTTATGCGTTTTTTGCATCCATGCAACGCAGAAAACGCAAATTGACGAGGAGCTGTCTGTCTGTGTGTCTGTACCAATTTTTTGCCTCAAGACTTATAATAGCTACAAGGCCCTAATCACCAAAATGGGGATTAAGGCCCTGTAGCTTTTATCGGGCAAGTTGCTAACTTCGGGGCCTGAAAAGGTAGAAGATCGGAATTTTAAGAGGATGTTCCCCTTTCAAATAGGTGTTAATGAGCTCAAATCCACCCCCAGGGTATGCGTGGTTCCCACGTACAGGCCTGTGAAATTTTTCTTCGGATGAGTTTTTTATGCGTTTTTTGCAGCAATGCAATGCGAAAAACGCATGCTGACGAGAGGTAGTCTGTGTGTGTGTGTGTCTGCGTGTGCATGTTTGTGTGTGTGTGTCTGTGTTTACGCTGGGCCTCTGTACCGATTTTTTATCTCGAGACCGGCAAAAGCTACGGGACTGAAACTTTGGGGACTTAATCTACATGCACGTACGAGCCCCTATCCCCATGCTGTCTTTCCCGCGTGGTACCCACGTAAGACCCCGCCAAAGTTATTCACGAATAAGCTGATAACTCGCGAACCAGAAAAGCTAGAGAGCTGAAATTTTATGGGAATTTTATTTTATGGGAATTCTATGGGAACTAATGAGCTCAAATTCAGCCGCCGGGTAAACGTGGTACCCGCGCACGAGCCCCCAAAATTTTTCCCGCGTAAATTCATAACTCGGGGTTTTGAGATGCTAGAAAGCTGAAATTTTAGGGGAATGTTCCTTGTCCAAGCAGATGCCAATGAGCTCAAATCCAGCCCCCATGTAAGCGTGGTACCCGCGTACGGGCCCGCCAAAATTTTCCCACGTAAACTCATAACTCGGGGTTCTGAGAAGCTAGAGAGCTGAAATCTTAGGGGGTGTTCCCTGTCTAAGTGGGGTATCAACGAGTTCAAACTCTGCCCGCGGGTAAGCGTGGCACCTACGTACAGGCACGTGAAAAGTTCCTTCCGGGTAAGTTACTTACTCGAGAAAGTGAGAAGCTAGAAGAATGGAATTTTGAGGGGATATTTCCTAACAGTTCTGGCGGCCAGTCTGAAATTTTTTCAGCTAAAAGCATCTGCCGAAAAAACCGGTGCGGGGAACTCTGCAAAAAACGCATCTTCGCACGGGCAGCCCGTGCGTTGGCCAAGTTACAAAACTGGAATTTTAACGAGATGTTCTTCGTTCACATAGGTCTTAGTGAGTTCAAACTTAGCTACCAGGTATGCGTTTGGCCCCTTTTACCGACCCGCAAAAGTTTTTCGCAGGTAAGTAAGTTGCTAACTCAGGAACCAGAAAAGCTAGAAAGTCGAAACTTTAAAGTGATGCTTTCTGACAATCTTGGCGTCCAGTCTCAATTTTTTAGCTAGAAGCGTCTGCCGAAAAAAAAAACAGTACCGTTAGCAACAAAATCTGCGAGGAACTATGCAAAAAATACATCTTTGCACCGGCAGTTGGTGCGCTGGCCATTCATTTTTTTGTGACAGCTTTTTTTGCCGGCTTTTCGCGGGTTTTCTGCGACACTGCACATGGTCTCAGAGTTTGTGCCTACGCTGGAGGGATTGCTGGCTTTGCAGTTTTATTGATATGAGCGCTCGATAAGGTGCTAACATTCTCGAGAGTTCGTGTTTGTTAAACATCATTAATTTCTTTCAAAAGTTGCCCTTTCAAAATACAACAAAGTACTTTGCCGGCTATAAAGTATCTTCTCATATGCAGAAAATATTTGACAAAAATTTCCACAGAAGTATAGATTTTGTTTTTTCAGTTTGAGCGAAGAATCGAAATTCTTGATTTCTATCACATGTCAATGAAGGTGCGTGCTGAAACAGCAACTGGAACAGAAGGATTCACTGCGATATATCGAAAAATTATGCCCTGAAAACTACAGTGTACCGGTCACTCACAAACTAGTCAAATCAGTATTTGTGTGAACTCACTAGGCAATAGGATGTTGTAGACAAGAAGTTTTTGTGCTAGGCAATGGGAAATTTTCGTTATGGATATTCTTTAACAGATCGAGGGTAAATGCTAATTAAGGGATCGAGTCACCACTTCTGCGGCAATAGTGACAATAGCGAAAATAGTTTTAATGTTATTGTTATAAATGCACACCTGCCATGGTTGCCGATGCGATCATTTGTTTTTGCTTGGGTTTATGCACCAGTAAGTTTGTTTTTAAACCTGTTTCTGTCATTTTGCGCTTTGCAATCCGTTTTGCAGAAAATGCTATCTCCGACTTGCTGTAAATATAAGCATTTTCAGAGTAGATTTCCTCACTGCTTGCTTGTACATTCTCGAATAGTTTAAATTTTTATGCCAGATTTCATCCCTCCTAACGCCTGATTCGCCGCAGTAAGCTGTTCTCTATCCCTTGTCTGGTTCACAAAATTGTTTGGCAGCAACAGAAGTGTGATTTTGTCTTTCAAAAAATTGCATAATACTTGGAGAGTAAGCGTATATGAAATCCAGTTTTATGTACCATTAAAATAGCCTGGAAAAAACACAAAATTTCAGTTCTCCTACCTTTTCTGACTGCTGATTTGAAAACGGAGAGCAAGGGGGTCAAAATCCAAACTCGTACAAATAAACGGCCGCTTTTTGGCTATATACTTTTTGCTGTGCAGCGCGTTTTCTGCTACAACCAGCAAAAACGCATATTGTCGAGAGGCTGTGTGTGTGTGTGTGTGAAAAGCGAGTGCATTTTGTCACCCACTTTCATCTCAGCAACCAGGAAA